ATTTTCTATTTTTGTAGTTCCAACTTTCACCGCTAGATGGACGGCAATTTTTTAGTCCATGAAATGGGCTATTTTTCTATTTTCTTTAATAATGGTCCTAGCGAGCTATAATTAGGTTCGTTTGATTCCGTAGGCGACAAGGAAGAATTTGTATATCTCAGAATTTCGAAAAAGTCCCTAGTTTTCGAGAAAATCGAAATTTTAGTGTTTCGTAGTTCCGCCGCTCGCCGCTAGATGGCGCCACCTGTACCGTTTTCGACCGAATTCGACAAAAATTCATTTTCTGGCTTTATTAGGCATCAAAACGCATTAAACCCTAATAGAAATTTGTTTCTAAATGCCTCAGGAACCATACTACGTCGTCAAAGTGCCGAAATATTGCACTTTGCATGCGTAGAATTGACATAGGTTGGTACGAGTGTATTGTTTTAAAACAGGAAAGAGATACGTGGCGCCATCTAGTGGGCGCGCCCCCGAACTAATGAAGCCGCAGTTTCAAATGTGTGTAGTTCACCCTGTTTGCCGAAGAGATGGCGCCACGGGTTCTATATTTTTTTTAATTTAATTAATATCGATTTTATTGGCTTAATTAACGTTAATATGCATCAAATTACATCAGAGAGTAAGAGTAATTAATTTCCGTGTCCTGGCGAAAAAAAATTTTCGACAGAAACCTTTTTATCTTTTTCATATCATCCCCTACTTTGCCAACCTGTGCATGTATATGCACATGTGTATATATATATGTTTTTTTTAATTAGAAACACTGCCTAAATAGATTTAGTGTAGTTCTACATCGTCACTTAAAATAATGTATCTTAATATGTATGTTCAAATTTATTTACACTCTTAAAGCTTAACATTAAATGTTACGTTAGGAAAAATCCTAATATAGGATACACGCGATGTTCGCCTATCTGTTTATCCTTATTTCCTAAGACTACTTCAATCTATACGTATTAGATATTTTAGATATTTGTATTAAATACATATGATACAATCGTAAATGCTAACAGTATCATTATGTTTGCTTCTATGGTTGATGATCCACTTTCATCCGAGCCTAGGGGCGAATGTTGCGACATTGATGCCAGTTGCACGACTATAAAAATATTGTTTAACACACGTGTATAATCATATTTATGTATTGCTATAAATTGGACATTAAACGGCTTACCTGGTACAGTTTTATCCTCCTGTATCGCGTTCGTAATATAACTGTCTTGGTCCACTGCAACAAATTATATAGGTCACGAAAACGTGGAGAACGGGATAGTACCGTTTTCGAGACGTGGACGGTCACTTGTCTTTATTACTTACGAGCACCTTCCGTGGCGAATCGTATTATATCCGACGGTTTACTCCATCCGTAACGATTTTTCGACAAAACGAGCACCTCGTAATGCGTTGCTTCTTCCAGTCCCGTCAAGTTGAAAGAGTACGTGTGTATGAAACTGTTTCCATCACTGCCACTGGGTATGTACAAATTGTGCCATTGACCGGGAACTCCATTCTAAAGGGGAGTATTACGCGTGAAATGGATAGATGATAAACGTCCCAAATGTTACTCGATATTCGGATGATAAACGTTCACGACTATTCACTTAAAGAGTTTCACACGTTAGAGGAGATTCGATAGCACGATATGTTTCAAGTACTATCTCCTTTCGTTCAATACCAGATAATCGTTAAATCACGAAGAAGCTCGAACTGATTACGTTCGGCTGCAGCTTGGTATTAGAGTCTTACCATGTATTTACGAAACCTGAACTCGTATTGGACGATGGGGCTGTAACTGTAGACCTCCCAGACGAAATTGTACGAGGTCTTCGAGAGACTGTGCTTCTTCTTGAAGACGGCCGGATTCGCTATACCTGATAATTCGACCGCCGCCTCGGTGATTCCTAAGGAATTAGAAGCCCTGCATAGGTAGAATCCATAATCCGTCGTTCTGACGTTCCTTATCACTAAACTGTGATCACTTCCCGAGTTGTGCTTCACTATCCTCGACGAATACTTCACGCTTTTGTTGTTGAAATACCATTCCACCTACGGACAGTTTCTTAGCTTCACAATAATCCGACGACTTTTATATTTTCAGGTTTAAATCGGCTGTCTAGAGGGGGATCGTCGACGACACGACAACGAGACTCATATTTACTCTTCAACTATTCACGACTCTATAAATATTTCTTGATCATGAAATGTTTAGAAGAAAGCCGTATCAGCAACGAGGGTAGCAGGTACTTTTCGCGGAGAGAAGTATCGTCATGTACCTCGTGAATCAATTTGTCACGCGTTACCGGCTCTAACGGGATAACGCTGAGAAATTGTTCTGCGGAGAGGGTTAGCAAGGCTTTACCTAGTCCTTCGAAATTACGATGTCTCGTGTAAACTGATTTTCTAATTTATGGTGAACGATTAAGGTACTTAAGTGTCGATTCCCGAGTGGTTCGATATCTTCGATAGAGAAATAAGGTAATACGTTAACCGATGTGCCATCGCTTCCAGTACATTCAAACTCGATAAATCTGACTTGTTAGCCTTGCAATTTTTTTTCTATCGCATATACTTTCATTCAGCGAAATTGTAAATGCAACAGTGTTCATTTAAGAATGTTCTTTAAAACGAAATTGCCTGAGCAATAAATAATTACGACCCGAACAACGAAGATACCCTCGACTGCAGTGAAAACTTCATTCTGCGCGAACTACGTTCATTGTTGTTCAAACTGTTAATTACTAGCGTCTTGCAAAATTGCTCACCGTTGCCTCTGGCCAGGCAGTTACAGCGCAGTGTAACTGCACTCGTATCCCAGGGGGTGCATGCATCCAAGTCTTCGCCATCTCGATCCTGGGCTTAACTGAGCAATTCCCAATCGATCAATCGGCAAGATTGCGGAAACAGAAACGAGAATATATGTAGATCATGACGATTTTTTATTCTGGTCATCAATTAGTCAGGCAATTCTCTGGCAACGCATCGAAAACCTACTTCAATCGCCAAGCAAATAACTACGGACTTTTGTTTTCAGCGTCGAAGCATCCGACATTACTAACGATTAATACCTCGACAGTGTTAATTAAGAAATTATTTAAGACGATGAATCAGCTAATTACAGTCTGAACCTCGGCGAAATGAGCTGATGTCACTCGGTCAAAGCTCTCGACATGTCGCGCTGTTTCGTGATTTTCAATAGAAATACTAATCGGCTCGAGGAATAATTACCGTGCACAAACGATTTAAGTTACTCGAACATCGCGTAGTTACTATTAGATCGTACAGACATCTGCTCGGAATACTAAAGAGGCAGCTTCCTAATTTAATTAGAACCGTTTAAGCAGGATAGTGTAGGTTATTACTTCCGCACGCATGGGCAGGCATGCATAAAGTCGATTAAGTAGAACGTCGATGCATCATCAAGATGCTGCTGCACCTTTGCATAGTCGTAAGAAAATCAATGTTGTGCTAGTAACTCCTTGATCATCCAGAAGCTCCGAGAGCTTCGGTGTAAGTATACTTACATCTAACGAACAAATCTATGGTGGCCACAGCGGATTCGCCAACGTCGTTGTTCGCCACGCAAGTGTAGCGACCAGCATCGTTGGGGCTCTCGGCGTGAAATCGCAGACGTGATCTATCATACAAAAACGGTATTTCTCCATCCTGTGAACGAACGAACGTTTTCACTGTTTACGGTGCTCGATATTCCACGTGGAACTGAATCAACGCTACGTGACACGTGTCATCGCTTACAGGTTTGATGTTTCGACATCGTTTACCTTGTTCTTCCATGATATGATAGGGGTTGGCACACCTTTTGCCACACAAGCCATATCCACTTCCTCTCCCAAGTTCACTTCCAGTTTGCCGGACTCTGGCACCGGGTGGACACTGGGTGGATCTGCGAATAACGTTATCTCGAACATCGACTCTTTTATGTGATAACAATCGTGAAATAGCATCGCAATTTAGCTTCTAATAATTCATTTGTGACGCCACGTTTTCGTCCTCTTTGATAAATAACAGGAATAAAAGCGTAGAAATTGTGCGATATTCTAATGAAGAACTTCCCGGCAAAAGCGCTTTGATAATTTTTCGAAATTAGATTTTTAATTATAAAGTACCGGAGGAATTCTCGGCACAAAGTCCAACGGTGTTAATTAAACTCAAATCAAATACTCGTAAGGATAATACGATCTCGCGCGAACGTGTGTGTTACTTGACGGGAAAAGAGTTGGAATCCCACGAGGCACGAAAAACACCGCAAAATTCGATTCCACGTAGAGGTGGTCGTACCGGTGACTCTTTTTCTTATTTTTACGCGCAATGCCTGTGCGTTCACGAAATGGAACCGAAATCCTGGCGGCTGGAAAAACTCCGTGGAGGATTCCCGGACAGAGGAAACTTTCTTGAATTTGTTTGCGGAATGACGTACAGCTCGAAGGTATTCTCGAGTTATCCATAAATTCGCGGCGACAAAGACAATCAATAATCGTATTTAACTTGGCTCAAAAAACTTTCCCTTCTTTTTCTAGCGAGTGATTATTAATTAAACGTTTCTACTTAATTGATCCGTGTCTCGGTTTCGTGTCTCTAATCAATTCTGTTGGAATAAGTAATCGTACGGCTTGAGCACACAGGTCGAATTTGCAAGCATTATACGTAATTCTGACGTACTCACACATTACTTCGATCTCGTGTACTTGGGTTGCATATCCCCAGGGAGCTGGTCGAGACGCCTGGCACACATACTCCCCGGTATCGTTCCGTTTCACATGAGAAACCTCCAAGCTTCTGTTTGAGTACATTCTAACTCTTTCAGGTGGTACGTGTTGTGGTTCACCGCTGTCAGCCAAAAGGATGCCGTCTCTCCACCATCTCACCGTGGTTTGCACGTTGTCTGTGTACACGGATACGCAAAAATTTCGACTCTATTCGATACGAAAAAGTCTACGTTTATTCGCGAGCGAATTTATCAGGATTTATTCGGTTGACAGTGCTCTTGCAACCATTACAGTAAAATGATTTTTTGCCACCTCGCTTTTAATTTATTAGACGAAATTTTTTAAAACGAGCGTGGGAAGGTTCAGGAAATTTGAACTGCGACATTGTATCAGAGTAAGATTTAATGAACCTTAAACCGATAAGTAGCTGAACGTGTAACCGAGTATCTTTTGCCTGACCCAATTTAATGGTAATCCTAACTGGGATAGAACACCGAGGTCATAGTTCATCGAGGTAGGTTCGTGGTTCTAGAGAAATCCGAAAGGGTGAAGTGCTTAATCCCAAACAAGTCTTTAATCCGTGGAGATTCTACGATCGTCTTAGAGCGTGTACTTCGCCTGTCGTAGTTGCGACAAGGCAAAGTGAATAAATGACAGGCAATCCCGTTAGGCGAAATCACCGATGACAGCTCGATCGATTCTACAACATATTGTTTGCGTTCCGAGCTGACACACCTCGAGCCTAAACGAATGGACGTGTTCCTGTTTAGGAAATTAGCATCGATCGCTGTCCAAATTTGCCGCGTCCTTCTCGTTTCCCTCCGTCGCATAAATATTTAACGCTATCCCCGAGAATTATTCAGTAGCGAAATATTAGAAAAAGGCGCATAACGAAATCGATATCGATTCGAAGCATAAAAGTTATAAATGGATATCGTTTTCATTCGTTGTATCTCGTTTTCTTTCGCAAGCACAGAATTGTGTATCGCAATTCTGATGCAGGTGGTACAGTGAAACGGAAGGATCACTTTTACCTTATTACAAGTGAAAACGATCACGGCACAAGGTATCTAATGTTACACCATTGTTGCGGTTTACGAGATGCAACAGGTGATATTTGTTTGTAATAGATCTAAAGAGAGAATTAAGCTTTCTGCTGGTTTTTATACACCATCTATTTTCTGCCTGTCTATTTCCACTTAACTGGTTCAATCTTTATTAGCGATAATTGATCATACTCGACTGGATTCTTTTGTCGCAAACTTAATTTAAAAAATTTAGAAGTTGAAATCTTACCAAGATCCTCGACATAGCACGGAAGCAGAACCGTGTCGTTTTCAAAAGTCTTCACGGTTGTCGGGTAGCTTTTGAATCCACTGTTCACCGCTGCCCGACTTCCTGCAACAACGTACGTGTAATGCTTTTTAGATGATTTGCCAAGGGAGAGCTTAAGGGAAACCTGGGATTTCGGAAGAGTTAGTAAAGTTGAAGACAGTCTAGGAAATAAGCAGAGACACGGAATCGAGAGAACATGAAATTGTTTTGGCTAATTCAGGAAGGAGATTTTTTCTTTGACTAAAGCAGCTTTATTATTTCTCGATTACGAGAAACCTACAAACGTTGAACACGCTGCAGTTCCGTTGAGAGAAGCAAGCGGAAGGAAATTCATTCGCTCCAATATTTCAGAGTTACTTAGTTTACATGTTCTGTCCGGCCACTGCATGTTGATTCTAACTCCGAGTGTAGGGTTACACGATGGTATTCGCTTTCTATTTTCTCGGGAATAGTGTAACTGCGCTTCCGTGTGCGGCATTCGCGAAAAGTCACATGCAGATCTCTTATGCATTATGTATATGCAATTTTCGCGCGGTGAAACGCCGACAGGTAAGCAAACGTTGTTACGATTTTCCTTGCCGCTCGGTCACCTTTGAAATTTCCCTTGCCGCGAGAAGTTGTCTCGTTCGAAGAAAACGCGGCAAACGGTTGGGGAAGCGACGATTACGATATACATCGCGATTTCTAACTTTTATCTGCTTATTTCTTTTCCCGGTTTTTAGAAAAATAGACGGAATTGAAAGTAAATTTCAATGGATTTAATAGGGAAAGTAGGGAATTGCAAAAGTTTACTGAGCACTTAAATTACAATCATTTTGTTACCGAGACAACGCGAATAATAAAAAAAAAGTGTATAGTTTGACCTGTTTCGAAAGTAACGCGAGCATGTGCATTCCGCTGTGTAAAAATTCTGTGACAAATAGGAATCCACAGGATCATGTCACAAAGAGTACACGTGTCAAGGATTTTATCAGACAGACGTTTGTTCAATTTCGATTATTGGCGTCAGCGAAAACACGTTTCTCTTTCTTTTGATAAAAAATGCAATTTCATCGAACCGGTAAGATGTATCGCGTCATCAAAAATAGACAAGTTTTCCTGTTTTTGGAGTCTTTTAAGTTCACGTCGGAGGTCGTATTTGGTCTCACGAAGAAACAGTATTTGGAATGAAGAACACGAATAGGATGCATCGACTTTTACTCACCTATGATAAAAATGCAAAGCATCCAACCGAAGAGCACCATTTTACAAAAACATAGATACGTTCCACCACCCTCGAATCACGAAATAAACGGAGAAGAGGAAACGATTCGGAATGATGTCGCGAAGCGCGCGAACTCTTCGACTTTTCACGAGACACTGATCTTGGGTTAAGATGGTGATCGTGTTCCTGCGATCTTAGCACGCACACGTGTGCACACGTACACGACGGTGCGCCCCCTCACGCACACTTGTCGTCATGAGTAATTATGTCCAGTTGTCCATTGTATGAATCAGGGATGCTCATACTGTGACCCACGGACACTGGCACATCCGTGGATATTTTTAGATGTTTTAAAAATTCATGTTGACAATATTTAGATCATCGATCGAGGAATTTTAATTAACTCGTAATGCAGTCTTAATTCGGTTACTTTAATATTTTCTAAAGATGCTTAACTTCACCAATTATTTTCGCATTATGATAGCGTTTCGAACGTTTCATATTTTTCGAGGCGGTAAACGTATGTAGATATTTGAGAATGAAACGTATACGGATATTTTCGGGAAGACGAAAACGAGGAAGAATTCTGTTGCAATTGAGAACCATCGTACTCTATTGCAATGCTACCACTATGTATACGTGCATAGGGTGTCCATCTACCAACACGAAAGGCATTCTTCTATAATTTGTTCAATTTACGCACCGACACGTACCATACATAGAGTCATTCATCGAGTTATCCATTAAATCGTTAATCTAATATGTGAATCGACGACCCGTTTTAAAAGCAGTCGACAAACCGTGCGTACCCTCATTCACGATTGTAAACAAATGAAAATGTCACTGTCAGAGGTTTATATGCATCTGACGGACAATGCACTCTAATGAAATAACTGTTATTGTTAGAGACCTCGAAATATATGTAACCAGCATTAAATTTTGCAACTGATTTGAAGCGTTCTCGATAAAAAGTACGTGAAAATGGAAGAGATTGACGAAGGTGAAGCGAACGATAAAAAGGCAACCGCTTGGAGGTACTTTGAAGCAGAACCATGGGAAATTAACGAAACTTCTACATCGTGATTACGCGTAATCGCATTTTAATTTCCCTCTTCCCTGCGCTTTTCGAGTTATTGCTTCGGCGAGACTCCACGATAGGACGCTCTTAATCATTTAACGTAGTTTCGCGCCACAAAGTCCGCATCGCGTAACGAATAAAAAAATTTTATTTCTACTCAACGATAGCTGTCTGAGCTTTCTTCGTTCTTCGAGACGGGAACAACGAAATCACTCCGAGGAACGTTCGTTTTCAGAATCAGCCATGAGTGGCAGCTTGACCCCATCCGCCAACAATCCCAGGGATTTTATACTTCTGTTCCAGTAATAGCTTGAAACACAATTTCAACGAAAATTGTATTAAACGCTTCATTGTTCCGTCGAACTTTTCTTCCCTCTTACTGCTGAAAAATTCAACCTCTTTTATGATTGCCCCTTCTTACGTCTGTCAATGATAGATGTTTCCTAATTCCTTCGAAGGTCGCTTTAACAACGATCTCGTTTTCTTTCGCCCTTAAAAGAGTAAAGCGTCTCGTTGCAAAATAAGAAGATTCGTTTCTTGTTCGACAGTTCGATCAAGTTGCGCTTTTTGTATCGCAGATTAAATATTTAACGGTCCAGCGAACAGGAAGCTATTAATAGACCTTCCGTTGTTAGCGATTATGAAACGAAAACTAATTATCGAAGCCTTGATCGATAATTATTTGAACGGGAAAATTGAAATAAATCGAAGTTGTTGAGATAGACGCTCGTTAAGCGATAAGTGCATTCGGAAAGAATTATAAGAGTCGAGAAATAAAGGCACAAAAGTAGCATTTGAAAGGACATATTGTGGTCTACTTAACTATCATTGTTGACCCATAGTGCGCTGTTGAAGCGCGTAACGAGCTGACTACTGTTTAGCTCGACGCTATATCAGCTAGAATGAATTTCATTCGGATTTCAACGCGACTATCAAATCCATTCAATGTCTGAAAATAACGCGAAATTTACAGATGGTTTTGATAAACGTCGTTCAATGCTCACGATTCGTGCGGACTGACAGATCTAAATTAGTTGTATATTTAAATCGTTTCGTGCAGAGTCGGATTCTACACGAAGAACTTTTATCATAATATAGCGTTTTATAGCGGGAAAAAATCTTTTAAAGTTCCTTGATCTTTCGGTTCTAAAGATAACCTTCCTAAAAAAGCATATACTATTAAGGCTATTTAAATTTCTAATAGGCAACTCAAATTTCTATGAGTTTCTTTTTCGTTCGAAACACGCGATCGTTATACACACGTGAACCCACGAATACTGTGCCTTGACACAACACGCGAGTACGATAAAAAATGTCCAACAATAACCCACATTTTCTCAAAGCCAGGAGCTCGTCAACCGTCCATCTTAATTTACAATTCAAAGCTTTACTACCCCCCGATATTTTATGCAACGACATGAAAGTTTTCTGCGTGAGCGTGCACCGAAACCTTTTACGGTCATCCGCTTGGCCGTGTCCCGTCTGCTCCGAGACCTTTTTTCTATGTAAATGCGATAAAACAAGAAAACCGCCACCGACCAAAGTATCACCCATTCGAAACTGCTTCGTGCTCCCTCGAAATCGGTTAGAATATTCCGATCCGCCGTCGTCGCGCGGAGGAATCGCTTTTCTACGTTCCTTTCTTTCCTTGTTTTCGCGCGGTATTAATTTTCTCGCGAAACACTCGATTTAAAACGCAATTTTCTCCGCTACCGTTTTCCAGCCGATGGCTCGTCTTCGAAAGATCGTAAATATTCATGAACGCAATGAAATTCGTTCTTACAAAGTCTAGCCGCGTGAATATCGTTCCTCTTTCTCCTCTTTCGCGTGCCATTCACCAGCCGCTGACAAATTGTGCAAACCGCCCACGGCGACACGAGCTCTAGCTTTTTTTCTACTTCTCGCCCCCGAAAACAGAAGGAGGCGCTTGTCTCGCGCGAGCGATTCAACGAAGCGCTGTCCTGGAACCATGTTTGCGCACGGCTTTTCCAGCGAGTGCTCGCTTTTCGAACAGTTCGAGGATTCAGAGCGTGTCGTGATTTGTAAGCAGGGTACTTTTTCGGTCGTACCGAGTGTTTTCAGCAACCGGTGCTTATTTTCAGGATGCCATTGCAAAGGTCAGACTCAATTTATTAGACAGCTAACGAAATAAATATCTCTGCAGAAAATTTTAACAATACCGAGAATCAGCATTGCAAATAACTTCTTCAGAAGGCTAATAAAGAATAATAAAAATTCAAGGATCACTTTTTTGTTACTTATTTGGGTTAAAATATTACGAATGTTCCATATAACTTGAAGGTTTTCCGTCTCTGAGATCTACAGCGTTTCTGAGAAGGAAGGTAATGCGTCGAAGATCGGGATTGGAATAAAAGTGACCGACAGTGCGTGAATACGAATAAAAGTGGTTGGAACCTCGAGAAAGAACGTAGGCGAGGATCAACAGGAAGCAGTTAAAAACTTGCGAAAGAATCGAACAAATAAAACTCTGAAACTGTTTTTAAATTGAAAATACTTGAAGAGTTTGAAAAGCTGTGCAACTACGGTATAACTGTTATGAAAGTAAGCGGCTACCTATCGAGTAACGCGTGCGAATTATTCCAAAGATATCGCAAGAGCTGAAATATACGGTAAAAGAGATACAAGGTATTGTAAATTCCTACAAAGCGACATTGCTTTCCGTCGATGTACGTGCGCCATTTAAAACGGAAGGGTTAAAGAACGTAAGGAGATATCCTGTGGCATGGACTTAAGCTTCTGAAGTGGCGAACGGGAAAGAGA